ACAGAGTTTTAATTTTTTCTACTCTTAAGTTGTTTCAAAGATATCTCCGTAGAGTTAGCTTTTTATCTCTCATCTTATGCACTTTGATGTCTTAACACATCCCATTTGGTTTCTCAGAAGCTTTTATGGCATGTTTCCATTTCTCCCCTAATATGCACCAGACTTGGCTCTGGGTGACAATGAAGTTACTGACCACCTTTGTTTTCTCTCCTATATGATAAACACTGCTTCTCGCAGGTAGTATAACATTTGTGTCTGACCTAACTTATAAGGTGGAATTCTAGAAAAATGGCAGTTTCATAATATAATAGGGAAGTAGCTAACATGTATTGAAATTCACTTAGTTACAGTCATTATGCTAAGTGTTCTACATGGAATCTCAATGCTTTGCAGTTTATTTTCAAGAAAAATGAGAGTCAAAGTTTTAAGCAACCTAAATTGAGGCTTCCTGGGTGTCAAGTATCAAAGCCAGGAGCAAACCCAGATCTGACACGAGAGTCAAGTTCTTTATTGCCTTTTTTGTACTGCCTGTACTTGTAGGGTAGAAGTTGGAAAACTAATATGCTGTATTTTAAGTGAAAACCAACGAGATTGCTTGATTTTTCATAAGTTGTTTGCCCTCAAACTTGTAAAACAACTTAAAAATTAGCATTAGTAATCATCTTAATTATAGTATGTGTTTCTTCACAAAAAAGTGTTTTAGCAACAGAGGCAGATCTTTTGCAAAAGGAAAGGAGGCCAAGAGATGAATGGGAGAGAGAAACATAGGGAAGGAGGTGGAAAAAAATGAAGACTTACTATGTACACATAGCAACTCCCCTTGAGGAATCTGACCATTATCTATCACAAGCATGTGCTCATAAAAATAAAATGAGAAAGCAATGACTTGTTTAGAAGGTTCCAGAGTCATAATACAATACAGTTTTTGCACCGTTTCAGTGTACAGTTGGGAAACCTATTCTGACTTCGATACTAACATGTTCAGAGTACAGTCTTTGTAAAAAGAAAGTGTTGATAGTTCTTTAATTGGAATCATTATTTTCTCAGATACAGCCTTATGAACTACAGAAGCACTACTGTAGGAAGAAACTCAACACCTGTAGATCACATTGTTCTAATCCTTTCAGACTTTGTCCAAGTAGAGGTTCCAGTGTAGTGTTTGGAAGTTTTCTTTCCTATCGTCTCCATTCCTTTTGTATGGGATGAACACACAATCCTGTTCTTCTCTATTTAGTAGATAGAAGGGACATATATTAACTTTAACTGTTCACAGATATTTTTAAGCATTTATGAAATGTGATACACTGTTGCATGCACTAGAAATGGAGCTGTTATTAAATAAGAAAACAGCTATGCTCTGATATAACAATGCTATAAGAAATGCATCTGATAGTTCATTTTAAGACGGGCTCAGTGGTTATGTCACTGAATATGACAGAGCAGAGGTAGGGGAAGGGATTGTTCCAGGAAGAAGGAATAACCAGAGCCAAGGACCTACAGAGGAAATAGTGAAAATCTGAAGATAGGTGATGGAGACGGAAGACATGAATGACTTGAAGTCACACGGTAGCAGGGGCGAGTTGGCATGAAGCCCTGCACTCTGGCCGGAGTGCAAGTGAGGAGGCTCAGGTCATGTTTGTTTGAATGTAAATGAAATAAAGAAAGACGGCATTTCACCTGCTCTGTCACAATTTTCCTAGGAACTGGTGGTAAAGACTCTGATCGTAGCAGAACCTCATGTGCTGCATGCCTATCGAATGTGCAGACCTGGTCAACCTCCGGGAAGTGAGAGTGTCTGTTTTGAAGTTCTGGGATTTGACATTTTGTTGGATAGAAAACTAAAGCCATGGCTTCTGGAGGTAAGGTGTTCTTTATAAAGAAGAGAGGTTATCACAGCTCTTAGGATTGAGACAAATGTGTGCTTGGTGTAGTTGCTCCCCTTAGCTGATTCTGAGGAGGCCTGAATGGAGTTGTGGGAGGAGGAGGATGGGACTGAGAGGACTGGAAATTCTGAGGATCAGTGTGTGCTTTGATGTTGCTCTTCCCAAATTAGCATTAGGTTTTTTTAAAAATTAACTTTATTGAGAAACGGATAGCAATGAGACAGTTTCAAAACTGATTAATAGGAAAGTTACAATAATTAATATATTGCGTATTGTTATCTTCTTAGTG